ATTAATTGATAGATTTGTTGGAGTCGAGAGATTTATTTTGTTAATTACTGTAATTTATAGTTTCTTTTTCGTCAATTTCAAACAATATATGTTGTTAATTGATAGATTTTTTGGAGTGGACTATTTTTTTTTATTAATTATTGTAATTTATTGTTTCTTTTTCGTCAATTTCAAACAATATATGTTTATTATATAATCCATTTTATGTGGTACCAATAGAATTTAGAGAGTCAATTAAATTTTTTATATAAGTTTTAAATAATTAAGCTGTTAATTATTGTAATGTATAATATTACTTATATTATTTTTAAATATATTTAAATATTATATGTTAGGTTTTTTATCCTAATTTATATGGCATTGATAGAATTGAAAGTGTCAAATAATTGCTAATTATTGTAATAGATAATATGGAGTATTTAAGTCATTTATAGTATAGTAAATAATATATAATATGTAGTTTTTAAGTGGAAGGTGGTGGGGCCCACTTATATAGTTTGATAAATATATTGGATATTAGTAGTGATTTATAGTATAGTAATTAATAATATATAATATGTAGTATTTAAGTGGAAGGTGGTGGGGCCCACTTATATATTTTATAAATATATTGGACATTAATAGTGATTTTATTGGCACATTGATAGTCATTCCTAAACTCTTCTATAATATAGTAAAACATAATCTTATATAATACGGATTATATATATGTAAAAATAACTAAAATTATAACAATCGCAGGTAATAATTCACCACTTTAAAAATATAATAGGTTTAGTACTCTTAGAAATATAAAATTCATAAAATTTAAATCATGAATTTATTTTTATTTATTCCCTTCTAATTATATATATTCACAATTTTTTTTGTCAAGTACATTTAACATGTTCCAACAACAGAAAATTTCATATTTGATTAATATTGATATGTATAAAATTTTATTTCTTTATTGTTGTATGTCATTAATATATTTTCTTATTAAGATTAGACTTTTAAATTTTGTAAAAACATTAATATATTTTCCTATTATGGTTAGATTTTAGATTTATTTTTGCTAAAGTAAATTAGGATTTTGATTTTGCTTCTTATAAAAAAATCTAAAATTTTTTGGCATGTAATTTATTTTACAGCTAATTATATTCATATTTATTAACTTCAACTTGATATTTCATTATATAATTTCCTTTTGTATTATTGCATTTCATTAATTTATTTCCTTTTAAAGTTAAATCTTTGAATCTTATTCAAGTCAATGTCTATTTAATGCTAATGCATATATAAATAATTTAAGTTTACTTTAAATTTAAAATTAATTTCATTTGCAATTAATGTTATTTCTAATTATAATATAATTTTTATTGTCTATTTGAATTTGATTAATTTATGCAAAATATAGTAGGATATTTCCTATTATAGATAACTTTCAGATTTGTTTTTGTTAGTATATTGTTTTGTTTATCATACACAAAGATTTTTTAAAAATGGAGAATTATTTTTTCTTTTCAAAATTATATTCATATTTTCTAACTTTAACTTAATAAATTTCATGAATGTATTAAAATATTTGATTTAAAATATTATATTTTAATAGTGTGGGTAATGTACAAAATATATTTAGAGTATAATATTGAATTACTTTGTTGTGCAAAGTGGAGAGGGCAAGTTGCAAAATAAAAAACGTTGTTATGCGGGACGGGCGGAGCGGATTAAAAGAGATGCGAGTTAAGCTCAACCCGCCCCGCACCACCCAATTGTCATCCATACGTTTTACTAAGTCGAAACATTTCAATATGTTTTACTAAGAAGGTCGTGTTTGTTAAAGGAGGACAAGATGTGAAAACTGGGAGGAAAAAAAAGAAGTGTTGCAGATTTTTTTTATTTTCTTCTTCATTGAAATGTAACTTTTATTAAATCATGTTTGTAAATTATAAATTATAATAAACCATGGCCGTTTCGAAAAAGAAAAATAAAAAAAATGAATTAACAAATATTAATCTCAATGTATAACAATATTGTACAAATATCATATGGAAACAATAAATCTTTAATAATGTTATTTGGTCACATCAATTATTGAAGCAATACGATTTTACATGTGCATTATGTCTGGCCTGCATTGCGTTGCTGCCATTTCCCTCTTCTTTTACTTGTTTTTTTTAATCTTTTGGAAATGACAGCCCGGTGTATCAAATTCTTTATAACGCGCTTTTGAAGAAGGACTTAACGGATCATATTTCCTTAAGTATAAACAATTTAATTTTACTTTTCTCCTAGAAAAGTTAGTTTTACGATTGAACATGTTATTTAAAATTGCACAATGACAACTCAGACTCGGAGGAAAATATAGTTATTGACCTTCCCTTGAACCAGTCACGGAGCTCTCAACTGAGTTGTTTAGGTTCTGGAATTCCATCTCTAGTTGGGGCTTTCGATTTGAAAAAATGTGGTGCGGGTTCATCTCTCTCGACCAGTTCATGTGAGAGGGAGGATGTAATTCAGCTTAGTTGTGGGTTCATCTTGTATGAAGAAAGAAAAATACTTTCATTTTTTCTATGGTTGGTGTCTTGAATTAAAAAATTCTCCACAAAAACAAGTTTCATAAAAATGCGCTAAATGACTTCCCAAATAGAAGTAGGGAAAACTAATTTTACAAGTGACATTTCAAGTTCATTGTCTCCTCCACAACAATTCATGCATGACACACCCACCAAACACCCTCCGCCATCCGCGAAACCCTATTCCCCACTCCATCTCACACCCAAAATATTTTGCTAGATTACATATAAATATTTTTGAAATAATAATCTATAAAGATTAGACAATCAAAAATATTTTGAAAAGTAAATGGTAAATATTGTAATAACCTATCTACAACAATGAGAGCGATTATTTTTATTATTTTAGTGGATAAAGATTAATTAATTAGAGGTAAAAAAATAAATCAATTATAATAATTGTAAAAAATAAATCTTGACCATTTGTTTTTCTATTGTTTAGTCCTTATCTTTTTTCTATTAATACTTTTTACACCATTTCAACCTTTTGATTTCTTTATTAAGTATTCATACCTTTAGGTTATCTACTTTAGAAACCGTTGTCGTCGCCCTTTTTTATCTTTTCCTTCGAACGGCCATTTGTTTTTCAATATCATATATTTGGGTAATCAAAACAATTTTTGCATCTTGAAAGATGTCTAAGCTATTGTTCAAGATATTCTTCTCAGTGGTTAGTTCACTCATCGAATCAATTAGTATAAAAATATTCACATTTTGCTTGAAGTCAGATAGGGTTACCTCTTCATTATCATCATCCTCTTTTGATTTTGCCATAAAGGCGAACACAGAATGAAATATTTATTTGTCTTCTTTTACTACAAACATGGAAGCACCATGAGGGTATTCAGAATCATTTGAATCACTTGAGGTATTTTCCCAGATGGCCGGAGCTTTCTTCACCACATAATCAATCGTTTCTCTTCTGCTTGACTTGTTAGTGACCGGGTCCCTTATTTTGTCATTGTCTCCTCCAGACTTGACATATATTCCTTGTGTTCACCCTTGTGCCAGTCTATGATGAAGTGAATTGAGTTACCAAACTTGTGACACAAGTCATTTGAGTTTGTAGCCCTATCAAGGTTTCCTTTCTTCATGTGACCTCTATGTTTTCTCACAATTTTTTGAAATCTTCGAGTGAGATAGGCCATGTTCTCATCTATTTCAGGGATTTCACTTTGTGAAACCTTGAGAGCAAGTGATTTAACCCTTTTTGCATCTTTCTCCCGGCCAACCTCATTATATTGTTGTCGGGGTTGGGAAACAATTTATTCATCCGAACTCCATTAAATCGAACAATTTACATTGATTGTAGGGATGTGAGAATCATCAAGAACAATATTTGAAGGCCCACTGTAGAACATGCCATTAAATCGAGGTGGCTTGATTGATAATTGACTCTCTTCCAAAGTTAGTGGAGCAACCATCTTTTCTACATGATTCTCTCTTGGTGTTAACCAGATAGAGAGCCCAAGCTTGGATACCAATTAATAGAATAGATGCGTCCACTAGTAATCATTGGACAGGTCCCTCAACAGAATAATAGTGCAGAAAATAAATAGTTCAAAGTAAATTAGACACAAGATACTTTTACGTGAAAACTCCCTTGCTCAAAGGAAGGAGAAAATCATGACCTATACTGATAGAATTTCCAACCGAACTCCATGTCACTCAAAGCAGAGCAAAGCTTTACATTAAAAACTCTTTAATCCATTCCCCCTTGTTGTAACAACTCTACTGCAAGCAAAAGAACTAAGAAATAACTCTATTGCCCACTAAACCAACTAACTTTAGTGGATCTAGACTTCAAGAACCCAACAAGGCTAACTCTAGCCACCAACCCTAACCCCCCCACCCCCACCCCCACCCCAAGAGGCTCGAGGCGTCGTGCCCTGAGCACCCCCCACCTCCACCCCTAGAGGCTAGAGGCGTCGTGCCCTGAGCAACCCCGACCCCAGAGGCTCGAGGCATCGTGCCCTGGGCACCCCCCCAACCCGACCCCCAGAGGATTGAGGCGTCGTGCCTCGAGTCCCCCCCTCGAGGCTTGAGGCGTCGTGCCCCCCCCCCCACCCCCTCCTCCTCCGGAGGCTTGAGGCATCGTGCCCCAAGGCCCCCCCCCCCCCCCACCTGGAGGCTCGAGGTGTAGTGACCCAAGCCCCCCCCTCCCCCCACCCCCCACCCTGGAGGCTTGAGGTGCTGTGCCCCGAGCTCCCACACACACCTGCACCCCGGACGCTCAAGGCGCCGTGTCCTCCACCCCACCCCCCGAAGGCTCGAGGACCGTACCCCAAGCCCCCCCGTGCTCCTGGACTACATGTCATAAATTAGAGCTAAAACATTTACTTTAGCACGATCAATATTTAGATGAGCCAATTGAGGTTTTGAATAATACTCAACAATTTATTGTCACTGAATGATTTACTAAATAAAACAAGTTTGCCAGCAACTCTGAAAATAATAAAAATCAGGGATAAAGACAATATATATAATACCGAAATATATTTCAACAACTGGTAGTTCAATGTCTGCAATTGCAGAAAGTATTATCATGTACCAATATAATTTCATAATTGACCATAAGGAAAGAATAAGACTATAGTGGTGGAGCAAGGATTTTCATGCTATCTAGCTAGTGTGCAGGGGATTCAACAAGTGTACAAATAAAATGATATTTCACCTATATACACAATACAATGTTTTGGCAAGAAGACCATTAGCACTAGCAATAAATCGAGCCCATTAAAGGTTTCATTAGCACTCTTCCTAATATCTAATCTATATCAAGATTTTCCTCCTCGCATTAGCCTCAATCCAAGGCTTGTCCTTAGTAAGTAACAACTCAGGAAAATCTCCCTTACCTCGGAACTGACACCAACATTGCTTTCTACAGTAATTGTAGTTTCATTATTGACCTCTTGGACAAAAGATCCAACTGTTTCACTATCAGTCAATACGACAGTGCTCTGGAAACTCCTCTCTAGTTCTTCATTACTGGAACTTGCATGAGGCATCCCATTGGGTATGCCAACAGCAACTTCTGGAAGTTGCTGAACTCCATTTCGAAAGCCCAACCCATTTCCAGAAACAAGTATGTTATTGACAACATCCATCATGCTCTATAATGTTTCAAAATTTGCAACCACGATTCTGCATGTCAAAACCACAAACACAAAATGCCTCATGAGTCGTGATTAAAACATGTCTTTTTAAAGTATAATCAAACCCCAATAGTAGGCTCTAAAGAAATGCAATCTCATACTCTAAAAAACAACCAATCCAATAGAAAACAAATTGTATATAGAGTATTACCAAAGCAATGCTACAACCACAAAAAGCTCAACTTTCAAAAAATTTGTACTTAAGAACAATACAAACTCTCATCTAATACTTCAATCACTTTGTTCTTCAAACAAACTAACAACACACAAATCAAAACTCGGGCTTTGCATAAAGTCAATACCATTTCATACTGAGCAGAGAAACAAGGTAAAATCACCCTGCAAATCAAGCCTTTCCATCAATTACAATCCAATTCCAATTATGATGTGGATCTTGGGTATCCATTCCACTTTATTCAAGTGCATCTATGCAAAGTCTCAGCAAATGACCACAAACAAAGAACTCAAAAACCCAAATCCAAATACAGTACCAGAACATGACAAAATCAGTAGACCGACCCATACTCTACTTAGATCTCCAACCCTAGTAAAACTGTCCAAATAACAAGACAAATGTTCTTAGATTGACTTCACAATGCAAGACAATCAAGCTTCAGTGATGCAAGCAGAGGGCTAACCTATTTCGTTTTCTCAGCTCTTTCATCACACTTGAAACTGATATTGTAGGTTGGAAGAGTACCTACTTTGCAAGGTTTGGCATCTGATGCAGCAGTAGGACTGCTATGAAGTGATCAAGGATAAACTGAAAAACTTGTATTATGCTAATAAAAATAAGAACTCCAAATCTAAGGAGTGAAGGAAAAAAGAAAGATTTGACGCATTTAGGATACGAAGATAGCATGCATGCTAGGATTTATGTCTTTTTGTACTTTTGCCTAGTACAATGATCAAAGATAAAACATGTTTGACAACAAATGTTAGTAAAACTGTTATTCAGTTAAAGTTAGCAGCAAACCATGCATGCATACCTGCAACACAAAACATATATGAACTCCACATGTTTAAGAAATAGTTAGATATTGCATGTAAAGTGACTCGCCTAACCTCCAAGTGATTCACCAGTAATTCTATCCTTGACGAGTCAATATCTTCCTTCTCTGTTAGATATAATCCGCCAGTTTTATCAAGTCCCACACCTTCAAAATTTGTAGAGAAGTATTATTTTCAGAGGCTAGAATGCTAGATATTAGATAATAAATGCTGCAGTATGAGACGAAAACTGTACTTTATCAACAAAAAATCTCCATTTCCTTACAGTATCATATATGAATGGCATTGTATCACCTTTTTTCCATGAAAAAGTAGTAAGGCAGATCACCTCAATCAAATAGTAGCATCCAAGCATTCAACGAAAGAAAATAGTACAACAAATTCAGCTCTTGATTTTTCCTCCTCCTTAATATGAAGCCTATTACAGGGTATTAAGTACTCTCCCATATTGTTTATACTCCAAATAAGCAAAGTACTTGTACAGGCACAACAAAATGGATACTTCAAAACAAAAAGGCCAAAGGTTTTGCTACTAAATGCAGAATAATTGTACATACTACAAATTTAGGTCAGTTGACCAATAGCCTATTGGACCTGGGTGTACTTTTTTGTATGAGAAAATAACCAAGAGTAAAACTGAAGCAAAGAGCAAATGCACCTGTTCTTACATCACGATATGTTGTCATATTAGTGTCCATGGGAGAATCAATTGCTACAACTATGTATCCCCTCGAAGCATATGTCTGAATACAAAAAAGAAAAAAGAGAATCGTACATAGAATTGTCATTCATTGCTTATGCTTGATGGTAATATGGAGAGTACTTTTAAGAAAACAAAATATCACCTATAGTAGTGGCCGTAACCACTCTTTACATTTGTTTGTACTATGCAGGAAGACAATAGCTGGCCTTTTTTTCTTATCGGTTTCCTTCATCCTTATTACCAAGACAGACAACTGCCCTTGATCTCCTTCCTGGAAACAGTGAGTTCATGTTCAATACTTATAGCTGGAGATATTGAGAACATTACTTCTGAAAAATGAGTATTCCCACATTTATCTTCATTCAATAAATCAGATACTTTTTGAAATGAAATATATATAATTGAAGCAACCGCTTTATTTGACTGCTATGCTCAGTATTTTTAAATTATCGCAGAACCACTTCATAGCGAGCATCCAATTCAAAGAGCTGAAAAGAGATAGAGGGTAAACAATTTTATACCTCGCAGGCTCATTGTAGCGCATAATTTATCAATGTTGACAATTTTATCCCCTAATTCCAAGTCCACAAGTAAATCTCTCTTGCATATAACTGCTGCAGGAATAAAAAATAGATAATTTTTATAAATAGATGTTATAGTTAAAATGAAATGCTAGAACAAGGACTACTCTGCTGAAAAGATAAAAACTTGCTGCTATGACATGTTCTGAGATGTAGAGGGTGCTACTTGCCTTCTTCTCAATGGAATCAACTGTAGCCAATTCATGGTCATCTATGTATTCAACCTCCGGAGTTCTCACTGTGTCAGAAGTTGACATAGATTCATCCATGGAGACTAATGATCCATCTGAGTGAGATGGAGAAATGTCCATGCTGGAAGTTGCAGGAAAATGGCAGTGATCTTAGGCACAACTACATCACTTCTTTGAATAGAAACAGGTTTTGCTGCTTGGCAGAACAACGTTACTGTTGCAACTAGAAATGTTCTTCTTAAAGCATACAATCGTGGATGTACATGGTTGCCTTCCAAAGAGAAAAATGATTCCAAGTTAGTCACAACTTCAGATACAAGAAGCAATCTTTTTCAATTCACTCACATTGCAAAACAACTTATTAAGCATAAGGTTCACCAAACTGTGAAAACTCAAAATTATCAAAAGTTTCCATGTTACTGTTTCAAAATAAAAGAAAAACAAAAGATGCAGTAATATATTAGAAAAAGAAAATAGAAGGAAAGAATAGAAAAACATTAGCTGATTTAGGATAGATGATTGACCAATGACTACAACAGATATATTTCAAAGGGTTGCGGGTGATCCTTGAGTTGAAAGTAGTGTCCATCAATGCTTGAATGGATAGGTGTTCCAAAGCAATGCAAAATCTAGAACACCGTCATCCGGCCAGCTGATATATTGTGGCTTTACTGATTTAGGAGATGCAACACAAGGGGAAAAAGATATACAATGGACCTGATCATAAAAGATCAGTTCTGGCAGCTCTTCCACTTGGACATAATGCTTCGTTGGGCTTCCTGGCTGATATGTCGATGACTACATTTAATTTAACAAAATCAGAAATTCAATACAAAAACATTGAATATGTACATGAGGAAAGGGTGCTAGGAATGCAAATACCTTCGACTTCATTGATAGTTCAAGTGCATGTGGAGATGCTCCTAGATGCACAGGGACATCATCTGCCAAAGGAGAACTGGATCAACAAAATGTTTCTAATACACGGTTCAATCAAATATCGGTGTTGGTCGTACCATGATCTAATCCAACTTCCTTGAGAAAACAACTCATGTCCATGGCCTTTCTCTGTGCTTTGACACAATTCTGATTCTGCAACAGAGGACGACTTAGTTGAGTTTGTAAGATCAGCTAGTGCTTTCCTGCCACCCGTTTTCTCCAAAACTTTAGAATAATTATCTTTTTTTTCCAACACTAAATTTGTTTCTAGAGGAATCAACATCTTTCCCTCACATTTGCGGAATTTTTTTCTTTGATGCTTGTAGAGCAGAAGGCTTTGAGATATCATTAAGTGCTTTCTTCCACCAATCTCTCCTCCTCTTTTCTTTGAGATACCATTCTTTCCCACCAGAGAAGCCCCTGCTAAGAAATAGTATATCACACCAATGTATATTCCAGTTGTTAGATGAAATTTGTATCATTATAGTGTATACTTATATTCTGATCTTGAATCGGTAAGCTGATGTTGTAGCCATTCCTCTCAACAAATCATAGTTGTGGTTCAAACATTAAATTTAAAGGTGATGTAATGAAAACCAGAATAGAAGCAAAGTAACAAGAAACAAACTACGACAACAACAAACAAATTGAGATTTTCACCCTAAATTCTTGAAATCGGAAATCCCCATCCCCCACCCCTCCCATTTACAACGATCAAGAAATCTTACAATTAAAACCAAAGGTTCATAGTAAACCCAGAAATCTGAGTGTACAAAATAATAGATAGAACAGAAATGAAGCAAGAAGGAAACATCAGTTAAGAAATTAGAATTTTTGTACGGTTGAAATATAGATAGAACACTTACAAAATTGATTCGACGAACTATGATTTTCAGTCTTGTTCACAAGTTTATTCCAAAAACATTTCAGTAATTCCCCACCCCCATCCCTTCCATTTTCAACCATCAAGAAATCTAACAATTAAAACCAAAAAATCTCCAAAATAATACCCAGAACAGAAATGAAGTAAGAAGTAAACATCAATAAAGATAGAGAACTCACAAAGTTGATTCGACCAACTAAGATTTTCAGTCTTGTTCAAAAGTTTATTCGTAAATTCTTGAATTCGGAAACCCCCACCACTTACCCTCCCATTTCCAACGATCAAGAAATCATACAATTAAAACCAAAGGTTCATAGTAAACCCAGAAATCTCAGTGAAGCAAGCTTGAAATCGGAAACCCCCACCTCCATCCCTCCCATTTTCCATCAAGAAATCTTACATGTAAAACTAGAAATCAGATGGAAATATCTTAAATTGTTGAAATCGAAAACTTCCAACCCCACCCATCCCATTTTCCATCAAGAAATCTTACAAGTAAAACCAGAAATCAAAGTGAAGCAAGCTTGAAATGGGAAATCCCATTTTCAACCATCAAGGAATCTTGCAATTAAAACAAGAGAGAACATCAATATCAATACAGATAGAAAACTCACACAATTAATTCGACGATTTCTTCTTTCTTGCCGATTTATTACAATTCAAATTCCAAAAGGGAAGCTTCAGCGATTGCGAGATATAGAGACATAGCTCAACGGTCACTAATGACAATCTTACAATTAAAACCAAAAAAACATCAATATCGATGATGACAATCTTTCTTTTTTTATTCCAATTTTTTTTTTGTGTTTTAAAGTTGCCAAAGGGAAGCTTTAGAGACGTTGGCGGTTGGGCAATGCTCATATTTCCCCCCACTATATACTCACTAGAGAAAATTCAATAAAAGATGTCAATTTTTAAACCCATTTAAAAATTTAATTAAGTTAATCTGGGATCAAAGGCATTTTCAAAACATTCCAATCTTTTATAAAATACAAAAAGACACTACATTTTCAACTACTTTAATTCTATTCAAACCATTTTTAAAAAAAATAAAAGAAATATAATTTTCTCTCTTCTCTTCTCTCCAACGTTCTCTCTTCTTCTCCTTCCTTAGAAAATCCGACTATCAACAAATATTCTCCTCATTATATTCTTCCTCATCTCCGGCTGTCACTCTCATTCTGAACTGAAGGTCGTGTTCGATTTAAAATGGGTAAGTCATTTTTTGAAAGATTTTACAATTTTGAACAACACACTCTTGATGGTAGGAACATTTGATTCATCTGTAGCAATAGATAAGTCATATGTAGCAACAAATGCCTTATCTGTAGCAACATTTGACTCATATGTAGCAACACATGGGTGAGTGTAGCAACATTTGAGTCATATGTAGCTACATATGGGTGATATGTTGCAACATTTGGGGAATCTGTAGCAACATTTGATTCATCTGTTGCAACATATGATAATTTCGGCAACTATGTTTATTTATTTCGACAATTATGATAATTTTAATGGTTGCACACAACTACACAAGAATTTATCATCCTTCACAGTATTCTTGGTAATGCTTAGAAATAGAAAAAAAGACCACAACAATCAACACGAAGATTAGCTTCCAGTTGTACATTTGCTCTTCTTCTTCTCCTTCATTACCCATTTTTGTTACTTCTTTTAATATGACCACAGTGAGTTACCCATGCACTCCGTCACCAGACAAGACACTATGATATAAATAAAGAAGACTTACCAAATGATGAAGCTACCCTCCATTAGACAAGATTCGAAAAAACAAACAATGACCATCACTCATGCACAGTGAGAACACAGTTGAAGAAGAAATTATATTAGTTGAGAACAACATAATTACATTGATCGACCACAATAAGAGCATGTAGATACTTAGATTCTTCCAAGGTGGCAACATCTTCTCAGGGTGATTTTGAGTGGAGAGAGGAGGAGAAAGAAAATAAAAAACGAGAGCTTTGTAAATTGTGAATTAAGGGAACCTAAAGGTTAACCTTTTTATAATGAGTGAGAGTGAGACAGGAAGAGCATTATGGGCCGTTAATTGTAGTTGAGCCAATTATGGGTTGGGGAACAATTTGTATCCTGTTGCAACTTCTTCCTATTCTATTGCAACTTCTTAATATTTTGTAGCAATTTCAACACAAAATCAACCAGATTATCAGACAGAATGTACATATGTTGCCACAGATGCCAATTTGATGGATGTGTGAATCAATAAATTAGGTAATTTAATAATAAAAAATGCTAAATTGGACCTTATTTTATTAAATTGGACCATAATTAAGCAAGAAAAAAAAAGATATAATACTATGTTCAACGATTTCCTATGGTGTTATATAACTATCATATGGAATTACTTAGTCACTGGATAAT